CAGGAGTGTCAATTGGTAAAGTCAACAACAGGAGTCACTGTGCACTTACTCCTCATGTAGGATCTCTATTCTTAATGTGCTGTACATTGAGATTTAATGCTATAACGAGTACTCAAACAATATATTTCACTTTGTGTTTCTATGGGGGTGCAAACTGTTGAAATCCTTACTTAATGCATACTAAACTGATCCTCTGTAAAAAAAAAATTTAAAAATAAAAAGAAATTATCAATTCCCAACTTGACTCTCACTGGGATTAAACATGACAATAGGTCTGCTCTGATTTCATCATCATTTAAAAAAAAATCATCTATTGATTTTCACTTTATGTTTCTGTGTGGGAGCAAACTGTTGAAATCCATACTTGATGTATACTAAGCTGATCTTCTGTATATTAAGATAATCAAAAATGAATCTTGATGTGAATGGAAGGGGAGAGGGAGTGGGAAAGGGGAGGGTTGTGGGTGGGAGGGACGGTATGGGGGGGAAGCCATTGTAATCCATAAGTCGTACTTTGGAAATTTATATGCATTAAATAAAAGTTTAAAAAAAAAAAAAAAAGAATTCAAGGCCAAATAAAAATGTATTTAGTTTATAGTTCAGTTGTTAACTAATACTCCTTAATCTAGTAAATTCCTAATGGAACTCAGATTTTATGTGCACAAACATATATACACATATAATATAAACAAACAAGATTCAAATTCTGCTTATGTACCCTGCTAGCTTTATGATGTGACATACCCCTTAGATTATCTGAGTCTTCGTTTCTGCTCTGTGAAACTTTGCAGGTGGTAATAAACAGTTTTAGAGATAGAGTTCATGAGTCTGGCTTTGTGCCTGGTACTTATCAGGCACTTAACATATGAATATATAAATTTTTTAAAAAAAGAGAGTAAGAGAAAAGTATATTAATTAAAGTAAAAACATCAGCATTTTATAGCATTCTAGAGTTAGAAAAGGACTATAGAAATGGTTTAGTACATTGCGTTTCATATAAAGCTCAGGGTTCTATTTTTTTTCCTTTTAAGGTGTAAAACTAGTGATTTGGTTTACTGGTTTTTCAGATGTTGACAGTTCTTCACAGGCAACCAGATAAAGAGGGAACTGTTCTGTAGTGGTGACTGGTGAGTCAAAAACTCACCTGCCCAGCAACCTGAAGCAAGCAGCATGTGAAACCCCCACCCTGCGCTGCCCATGAGAACCTCTGTAGTTTAGTCTAACTGGAACAGTTAACCCACTGATTTAACTGAGGCAGAGAGAAGGTATTTGCCTTCTTGTAGGTCACATAAACTTGTATAGGCCAATAAAACCAGATGTCTGGCATGAGAATTGCAGTTTTCTGTCTCCCATTCTGTTGTACTTGCTATTATTCTATTAACATTTTAGTAAAATATGTGAAAATTCATCAAATATTTAAAACCTGAGTAATAGAGTCCTCTTACAGCAGTATATTTTGTGTTTTTTTTTCATAATTTTAATGACATGAATTATGGTATTATGGCTGTTAGCATCTCATGATGATGAAATGATCTATAAACTGTAAAATATACAAATAGTTTTTTAAAAAACATCTTTCATATCATGCTAATTCTGTATATGAGATTTGTTGAGCAGGAAGCACTTTGAAACCTGTTTTATTTTTTATACTAATTGTATTATATACTGTGGAATAAGATCTAACTATGTAAGGCAACAAAAGTTTAGAATAAGGAAAGACTTGCAGATATCAGAAAAGGCAGCATTTTCCTCAAGTGCCCATGACAGCTGGGCCTGGGCTGGGGCCAAAGCTGGGCGTTGGGAGTACCATCCAGATCCTCCACGTGGGTAGCGAGAACTCGGTTACTTGAGTTACCACTGCTGCTTCTCAGGGTCTGCACTGGCACAACGCTGGGCCCAGGAGCCAATAATGAAGTCCAGATTCTCCAGTGTGGGACTAAAGTCCTCCCCTACAATTTTTTTTTTCTTTTCTAAGAAAAACAGATTTCATAGAGCAAGGATACTAAATATTTAGCATAGATTTATGATGTACACAAGGACGCATAACTATTGGATTACAGATTCGCTTCCATCTTGTCTAGCCCAAAGCAGAAGAAGAAATGAGTTAGTTCCTTCAGATGAATTGAACACATTCAGATGACTGAAGAACCTTGTAAATGTTACTTCTGAGTCTTTGTCAGTGTGTGTGAGAGTGTGCCTTAGATAGTTAAGAAGAGTTGGAGAAGTAAGAAAGTGGGAAAAGACAAGATATGCAGAAATTACTAGAAATTATCGATCAGTAAGCTAGATGCCAACCTCTGCCAATTTTTTAATATGTTACAGAAAATTTTGCTCATTCAGAACTATCCTTTTTAAATTATTTATTATTTAAAAGGTATTTATCTGTTTATTTGAAAGATGGGATACTCCCATGTGCTGGTTCATTTCCCAAATGCTTGTAACAGCTGGAGTGATACCAGTCCCAAGATTGAAGTCAGAAACTCAGTTCAGGTCTCCCATGTGCACAGCAGAGACCATTACCTCCTGCCTCTCAGGATGCACATTCATAGGGAGGTGGAATATGATGAAGAGCAAGGATGCAAACCCAGACATTGCAAAATGGGATGCAGGTGTTCCAACTGGTAGCTTAACCACTAGGCCAAGTGACCACCCCTTCATTACTTTTTGTCCTGTTAATATTGCTGCATTGGTATTGTATCTACCTATATTCTCCTGTTTATGTACACTATACACATCTATATTCTATACTGTTATGAGACCACATATATACACTATATAAATCTGCATTCTAGAACTATAGACTGTAATCTAGTAGATATAAAATATCTTGTAGATATAGGATAGAGTAAATACATTAACTCATTTTTAAAAAAGATTTTATTTATTTGACAGAGTTAGAGACAGAAAGAGGGAGAGATAGAGAGAAAGGGTTTCAATCTGCTGCTTCACTCCCCATATGGCCGCAATGGCTGGAGCCGAGCCGATCTGAAGCCAGGAGCTGGTAGCTTCTGGGTCTCCCATGTGGGTGAAGGGGCCCATGCACTTGGGCCATCTTCTGCTGCTTTCCCAGGTCTTAATAGAGGCTTAGATTGGAAGAGGAGCAACTGGGAACTGTGGCCTCCATATGGGATACTGGCGCCACAGGTGGAAGCTTAGCCTACTAAGCCATGGTGCCAGTCCCCTAATTTGTTTCTTAATGGAAAAATGTGGACTAGTTGGAAATAATGTTAGTAAGCTTTACAGTTGTATTCATAACTGTACCCAAAATGTATAAACAGCTGTCAATTTAGAGAAAGGTTTTATGGGTGTGTACTTTGACATGCCATCTTTAGGTGTTAGCCATTTTGGCATGTTTATCAGTGAATTTGGGCAGAATCCATAAAGGCACAAAGAAGTCTTTCTTGATTTTGTATTTGTAGTATTTGACACACTGTCTGGGACAGAATTAGGAGAGAGAGAGAGAGAAAGAGAGAGAAAGAGAGAAAAGGAGTTCTTATATTGATAAAGTCCAAGAAACTTTATTTCTTAATTACATAGGGTAATAATAAACATATGCTTAATGTTACATATACTGGGATGTTCACCATAGGAGAAATTGGAAGCACCTTAATGTTGAACAGCAAGTTTGGTTAAATGAGTTATGATGATAATCTGTAGTATTTTTCTGCTTTAAAAAGTTGTGATATTAAAGTATATTGATCAGGCCAGCATCCTATTCTGGAGCACTGATTTGAGTCCTGGTTGCTCTGCTTCTGTTCCAGCTCATTGCTAATGCACTGGGGAAAGCAGCAGGAGATGTCTCAAGTGGTTAGGCCCTTGCACCAATGTGGGACACCCAGTTGGACTTCCTGGGTCCTGACTTCTGTGTGGCCCAGACCTGGCTTGTTGTGGCTATTTGGGGAGGGAACCAGTGGATGGGTGATCTCTTACTCTTCTCTCTCTCTCAAATAACTAAAATAAAGAACTATATTATAGGCTTAGAAAAGCACTTATGATATTATTTATTTGGAAACATATAAAGTCTCCACTTTGGTATGCCAAAATATTGGCAGTGCTTATCCCAAGGCAGTGAGATTATAACTGCTTTTTAAATTTTATGATACTTTGAATATTTATTATACTTATAATATATCTTTATTCATAAAAACATTTTTTCATACAGAGGTTAGGAATGGTATCTGGACGACTTGCTATTTTAAAAGAAAATATTTTATCTTATTTTAAAGTTATTATTTATATGAAAAGCATGGTGACAGAAGAGAGAGACAGAGACAGATCTTCTGTCTGCTGGCTCAAGCCCCAAATATCTACAACAGCCAGAACTGGGCCAGGCCAAAGCCAGGAGCCAGCAATTCTATCTTGGTCTGTCACAAAGGTGGCAGGGACCTAAGTATTTCAGCCATCACCTGCAGCCTCTAGAGCCAACTGTATCAGAAGGTAGAAATAAGACTCACACCAGGCACTCTGAAATGGGATGCCAGTGTCCTAAGCCACAAAGCCCACCCTGAAGGAAAGGATCTTGGTTTAAATTCTTTCATATAACACATAGAATGTATTTGAAGACCATGATAATGGCTATTGTTTTTAGCTAGAGATGTTTTAGGAGGCATTCTCTGCACCTTGAATAGTGCTGTGTAATTTTAGCTGTCTCGATATCTAGTTACCTACCCTAGCCTCGCCTCATTGCCAAAAGCCTGTTTCCCCTCAGAACCATTGCCTGCCTTTTGCTCCTAACTTAAACAACTGTGTGTGCATCTGACAGATGCTAAAGAGTTTATTTACAATCATTATGAAAAACAAGGAAAGGAATAGTAAGGTATCTTATTAAATTGTTGGTAGTTTTATTTCCCAGTTTATGTTCATGGACACTAAGCCCAGTCTGATTTATATGTCTTGTACAGTACCACCAAAAATAACATTTTGACACTGCCAAGTGCTGTGTTTTACTGTTGGATTTTTCTAAAAATGCTCTTTTTAAAAAAATGTGTTTGTACACATAGGAACTATCAAAAAACCTTGAGCTAAGTACTAACAGTTTCCAGCGACAGCTGCTTGCCGAAAGGAAAAGGGCATTTGAGGCTCATGATGAAAATAAAGTTCTTCAAAAAGAGGTACAAAGACTGTATCACAAATTAAAGGTGAGCAGGTTCTTTTCAAATGTGTTCTTCCCTCTTTTAGATGTTAGATGAAAACCAAATAAAGATTATGAATGTGTATTTTTTTTAAGATTTCTTTCTTTCTTTCAAAGGCAGTTATGGAGTGGGGTGGGGTGGGATGGGGGGAGACAGAAAGGGATTCCCCTTCCATCTGCTGGTTCACTCCTCAAATAGCCCCAACACCCAGGGTCAGGCAGACAGAAGCCGTGAGTCAGGAACTCCATCCAGGGCCTCCATGTAAGTGGCGAGGCCTAAGCAGCTGGCCCATCTTCTGCTGCTTTACCAGGCACATTAGCAGGGAACTGGATCAAAAGTGAAGCAGCTGGTTCTTAAACTGGCGCTCTTATGAGATAGTGGCATTGCAGGTGGCAACTTAAGCCGCTGCACCACAGTACTGACTCTGAAAACCAAATATTTAAAACATTAATATGTATTCATATTTATAAGTTGGTATAATATAATTCCAAAATTTTAATAGTTGGCACTTGGAAAAGACCTGTAGATTTAATCAATGTAACACCATAAAGCACTGAATACATTCACAAGAATGATGTAACAGAAATAAATGATAAGATCTTAGAAGAAATTACGGGAACTACTGTTTTCTATATTGCATGTCCAAATAATCTCATGTTCTTCTGCAGGCTAACCCTGTGACTGAATATTTTTAAAATTTCAAATAATACCTTTCATTTCTCAGTGCTTAGAGGAGGTACTCAATTCAAAGTATTCATTTTTGTTAATCAGGTATAATTTTTTCTAGAAGTCATTCATTGCTGGGTTGAAATTTTGTGTATAATCGCACAAAACTGTGTATTCTCTCACAGTTTTCTCTTTGTTAATCAAATCTCAAAAAAAAATCTGTAGTCCTCTGATGAACAAGAACATCTCTGTTTAAGAGTGGTCTAATTTTTAACTCATCAGTAACTCAGAAAAAACAAGTATACACACACATACACCCACACACACAACTGCCTGAGCATCCATTGCTGGTTCACTCCCCAAATGTCTGCAACTGCCATGGGAGCCAGAAACTCAATCCACGTCTCTTACTCAATTCACATCTCTTACATGGGTGACAGGAACTCAGTTACTTGAGTCATCACCACGACCCTTCAGATTCTGTATTAGGAGGAAGGTGGAGCCGAGAGTTGAGCCCAGGCACTCAGATGTGGAAAGTGGATATTTCAACGGATGTGTTAACCACTAGGCTAAACATTTGCCCCCATGTTGGACACTGGAAAAATAATTGCTGTTCCCTAACCTAAAGATACTAGAGACATTGCTTTCTCTAGTTTGGTATTTAAAAGAGAAGCTTAACCAAGTATATTTCAATTTCATAAGGAAAATACAGGCTGAAAAAGTAAGGTTTTTTAAAATAAATTTGTTATTTCTATAAAGGGAATAAGTTTCATATATACAGTTTTAAAAGCATAATGATACTTCCTATCCTCCCTCATTCCCTTCCTTCCACCCACCCACCCACCTCCTTCCTTTCTTTTTCCTTTTAATTATCGCAATGGCATGCTTTATAATCACAAACTTAATACTCCACTAAATAAACAATTCAACAAGAAGTAAGTAAAAAGACCACTGTTCTTCAGAAGTATAGACAAGAGCTATAAACAACAATCAAATCTCAAGATGTTAATTTCACTCATAAACATTATATATATTTTTGTACTCTATATGTTAGTTACCTCAAATCAGAGAAAACTGAGATTCTGCTTCCTCAATTCTATTGGGTTTGTTTTTAGGAAAAAGAGAGAGAACTGGATATAAAAAACATATATTCTAATCGTCTGCCAAAGTCCTCTCCAAAGAAAGAAAAAGAACCTACATCAAGAAAAAGTGGTATGGTTGTTATTACTGCTGAAAAAAATGATAGGTTAGATATTGTTAATAATAAGATAATTCTGAAGTTCAAGGAAAGGAAGGGAAAGAACTTAATTGAAATATATTTAAATATTTTTTATAATTTACTTTCTTTTGGTTAAATTTTAAAAATCCTTCCAACTTTCTTTGTTTTTCTCCCATAAGGAGAGAGAGAGTTCATTAAAATTGTGCTTTTCTTAATGTTTTGAAATTTTAAAACTTTTATGAAGATTCATTCATAAACATACCCTAAAATAGAGAATACTATAATGAACTTTATCATCTATATATCACCTAGCTTTAACAGTTGCAACTTTTACTAATTTTATTTCAACTATTTTTTCTAGAATATTTTAAGAAAAAAATCCATGTCATTTCATTTCACTCAAATATTGTTATGTATAACTTTACTTTTGTTCTTTAACAAAATTATAATTTCCTTCTGTGATTTGCAAACATGTTAAAACATAAATTTTATAAAAGCTTATTAGCATTTACAGTCAAAATGGCCCACAGATTTAAAAAAAAAATCCTAGAAGCAATAATATTCACTGAGCTAAGCAAAACTTACACATTATCTCATTTAGCTAGTGAGTATATACTAGTTGAATTGTATATATTTTAGCATTGTTCAATAATTTGGAAAATTATTTTATACTTTTCATTATAGCTGCCTGCCAGAGTGATTTTACAGACCTGTGTACAAAAGGAGTGCAAACCACTGAAGACTTTAAGCTGGAAGAATTTCCTATAACACCACAAACAATTATGTGTTATGAAAAAAAATGGGAGGAGCCAGAACATCTTCCTTTGGTGAGTTTAGCAATATGATTACATGCAGTAGGTTTGAAGTTATTCCTAAAAACACAGTATCAAGCATTTTAAAATTTCAGCAGTGAAGCTAGTGCTATATCTGTATGAAAGTACAGCTAGATTTTAGGGAGAACATCTGTGTATTTTGTTAAATTCTTTGGATTGACTCTTGTTGTTTCCATTTCATTTTTTAAAAAGTTTACTTATTTGAAAGAGAGATCTTTTTTTAAAACTTTTATTTAGTAAATATAAATTTCCGAAGTACAGTTTATGGATTATAATGGCTTCCCCCCCATAATTTCCCTCCCACCCTCACCCCTCCAATCTCCCGCTCCCTCTCTCATTCCATTCGCATCAGATTAATTTTCAATTATCTTTATATACGGAAGATCAATTTAGTATATATTAAGTAAAGATTTCATCAGTTTGCACCCACACAGAACATAAAGTGTAAAATACTGTTTCAGTACTAGTTATAGCATTAATTCACATTGGACAACACATTAAGGACAGAGATCCCACATGAGGAGCAAGTACACAGTGACTCCTGTTGTTGACTTAACAATTTGACACTCTTGTTTATGGTGTCAGAAATCTCCCTAGGCTCTAGTAATGAGTTGCCAAGGCTATGGAAGCCTTTTGAGTTCGCTGACTTCGATCTTATTTAAACGAGGTCATAGTCAAAGTGGAAGTTCTCTCCTCCAGAGAAAGGTACCTCCTTCTTTGATGGCCTGTTCTTTCTACTGGGATCTCACTTGCAGAGATCTTTCATTTAGGTCCTCTTCTTTTTTTTCTTTTTTTCCTTTTTTTTTTCTTTCCATGTCAAAAATACTCTCATGGGCTCTTCAGCCATATCCGAATGCCTTAAGGGCTGATTCTGAGGCCAGAGTGCTGTTTAGGACATCTGCCATTTTATGAGTCTGCTGTGTATCCCACTTCCCATGTTGGATCTTTCGCTCCCTTTTTTTTTTTTTCTAGAGAGATCTTTTATCCACTGATTTCAAATGCCCACAACATTGGGGCTGGCTGAAGTCAGGAGCCAAGAATGCCATCTGGTTGTCCCATGTGGTTGGCAGGAACCCAGCCCCATGAGCCTGGTCATCATCTGCGGCCTCTCAGGGACATGAACAGGAATCTATCAGAAGTGGAGGGGCTGGGACTTGATCCCAGTCACTCCAGTATGGGATGCAGGCATCCTAAGCTGTGGCTTAACATGCTGAGCCACAGTACTAGCCCCAGTTTATGTTGCATTCTTCAGGTGCTTCAGAAAGATTGAGTATTCCTTCTGGTGGAGACTCCTTAAAGAAAAAATTTGCTTTCTAAGCTTATTACCTTTTATCTACCCAGACAGTCTTAGAAAACCCTGAAAGTGGTAGCCAGTGATGTGCCGCAGCAGATTATGTTGGGGCTGCCACTGTGATGCAGCAGTAGCACCTGTAGCACCAGCATTCTATATGGGCACCGGTTCAAGTCCCAGCTGCTCTACTTCAGATCCAGCTCCTTGCTAATGTGCTTGGAAAATGCAGTAGACAATGGCCCAAGTCCAGGGGCCTCTGCACCCATGTGGGAGACCTGGAAGAAGCTCCTGGCTCCTGGCTTTGATTGGCCCAGCTTGGGCCATTGCAGCCATTTGGGGAGTGAACCAGCAGATGAAAGATTCATTCATTCATTCATTCATTCTCTCTCTCTCTTTCTCTAATTCTGCCTTTCAAATAAATAAATAAAAATTTTTTAAAGAGTTTCAAAAAACAGCCTGGAAAGATTTTTTTTTAAAAGATTTATTTTATTGGCTGGTGCCATGGCTCACTTGGCTGATCTTCTGCCTGTGGTGTCGGCACCCTGGGTTCTAGTCTCGATTGCTCCTCTTCCAGGCCAGCTCTCTGCTGTGGCCCGGGAGTGCAGTGGAGGATGGCCCAAGTGCTTGGACCCTGTACCCCATGGGAGACCAGGAGGAAGCACCTGGCTCCTGCCTTCCGATCGGCACAGCGCCAGCTGTAGTGGCCATTTGGGGAGTGAACCAACGGAAGGAAGACCTCTCTCTGTCTCTCTCTCACTGTCTATAACTCTACCTGTCAAATAAAAAAAAAAAAAGATTTATTTTATTTATTTGAAAGAGTTACAGAGAAAGGTAGAGACAGACAGAGAGGTCCTCTATCCGCTGGTTCACTCCCCAGATGTCCGTAATGGCTGGAGCTATGCCAATCCAAAGCCAGGAGCCAGGAGCTTCTTCCGGGTCTCCCACATGGGTGCAGGGACCCAAGGACTTAGGCCATCTTCCACTGCTTTCTCAGGCCATAGCAGAGAGCTGGATCAGAAGAAGAGCAGCCGGGACTAGAACCGGTGTCCATATGGGATGCTGGCATTTCAGTCCAGGGTGTTACCCCACTGTGCCACAGTGCCAGCCCCAAGATTATATGTTTAATAACAAATTGTGGTAGTTTTTCAGTGATTTGTAAGAATTTGACTAGATTTAATTTTTTGGAAGAATTTTACATGTTAACTGAATGTTAAAGCAATTCAGAGTTGAAATCACAGAGTCTGTGTTCATTTAAAAAAACTAAGCTGAGTTTCTGGAAAGTCCTTTTATTCTAAAAAAGTTGTATCTTTTTTTTTTTTTTAAAAGGTGTCTTTATTTATTTGAAAGGCAGAGTTACAGAGAGAGAGAGAGAAAGAGAAATCTTCCATCCACTGGTTCACTCCCCAAATGGCCACAACTATAGGGGCTGGGCCAGTCTGAAGCTGGGGCAGGAGCTCTATCCAGGTCTCCCGTGTGGGTACAGGAGTCTAAGCATTTGGGCCATCCTCCGCTGCTTTCCCAGATGCATGAGCAGGGACCTGGAACAGAAGTGGAGCAGCTGGGACTCAGCCAGCACCAGTATGGGATGCTGCTGCTATGCCACAATGCCTGCGCCAAAAGGTTTTATCTTTAGTATTTTCAGTTCAAACTCCAAAGAAAGCAAAGCTCCAGGGATCAAGCATATGTCATATATATAGTGTTGTATTTTTTTACTTGATAAGCTTCCCAGTGACCCTGAGACAACCTCTGATAGTATAAAGCAGAAAGGGTGAACTAATTTGGTGCCTCTGTATGCTCTAGTTTTTTATTTGTTAATTTCTATTTCAGTTTTGTTTTTCAATTTAGGCAAATTAGTTGTATCTTCTGAGTTTGTTTCTTCTTGTATTTGTACTACCATCGACACTAGATCATGTTGATTTGTCTCTTTGAAATGATGAAATGTGGAATAGCAAAGAATAACTGCTTAGAAGGATAAAAAATGGTCTTAATTTTAAGATTCAACAGAAGCAGCAGCAGCGTAATTTATTGAGAAGAGTTAGCTCTACTCTTTAGATAAATTCTGGTTCAGAGGTATTAGTTGGGTGACTTGTTGGAGCCTCCATTTCTTCATCTATATAATGGGGATGGCTTTTCAGGGTTGTGATAATGACTGATTATGACGTTGAGAAAGCTCTTGAGACTGAGTCTGCTAATGTAAAGGGCCTCAGCAAGTTGTAGCTTCTTTAGAACACAGGCTGAGTTGCTCCTGGAAAAAGACTCAATATGGTGGGTCAAGTACAATGCAGGTCTCTTTCTTATGACAGGTAGTCTAGGAATAGGTAGCCTGGATTGGTAGATACCCTTGTTCTATTGTAGTCATCTGTCTCGTTGACCTTCCATTTTGAAGCATAGTTCTCTCTTTTTTTTTTTTAAAAAAGATTTTATTTATTTATTTGACAGAGTTACAGACAGTGAAAGAGAGAGACAGAGAGAAAGGTCTTCCTTCCATTGGTTCACCCCCCAAATGGCCACAATGGCCCAGAGCTGTGCCAATCCGAAGCCAGGAGCCAGGCGCTTCTTCTGGGTCTCCCACCTGGGTGCAGGGGCCCAAGGATCTGGGCCATCTTCTACTGCTTTCCCACGCCACAGCAGAGAGCTGGACTGGAAGAGGAGCAGCCAGGACTAGAACCGTTGCCCATATAGGATGCTGGCGCCGCAGGTGAAGGATTAACCTAGTGCGCCCAGGCGCTGGCCCATAGTTCTCTTTTGTGTTGTTGGAATTGGCTCACCAGCACTGTGGGAAAGAAGAATTAAGGAAATAGAGAGCAAGCAGCTTTTGTTTTGATGTAATCAGAAGTTGCACACATTCTTCACTTACCTACCTTCTGTAGTTCCTTTCTAGCTGCAAAGGAGGCTAGCAAATGTAGTCGTTAGCTAGTAACCCTATGCCCTGCTAAAAGACAGGAGATTCTGTTAGTAAAAGGAAGAATGTAGAAAGGGACACTAGGGCACAATTCTCTACCAGACAGTCTTTAATAATAGATGTTGTACTTTTCCAAAACAAAAATTATACATACACTTATTCAAAGGAACCATAAGAAACAACAATTTGTAAGTTTGTAACAGTTTATTTGATTTAACTATTATAAAATTTATTAATTGGAGACTTTGGGCATAGTATAAACCTGAAATGCAATTCAGTGCAATTGTCACTACCTGTGTTATTCAGCATCTCAATTGGCCACCATGGTTGGTTAATAGCCATTTTGATGAACTGAATTAATCAAATTTTGTTGTGAAAGTGTATAAAGCAAAGAAACTTCTGAAACTTGTCTTTTCAGAATTTTATGTAAGGTATTGTCTTGTCTTATAACATATTGGTTCTGATATGTTTTATAAATATTTCTTTAAAATTTTAATTAAGAAATAATATAGCATGCTTTTAAAACATCTTTTAAGTGATGGTGTCTTATAACTTACTGATTTATTATTTGAAAATTTGTTTTATTTTTAACTTAGTTGGTAATCATGTCTAAAGGAAGGATGAATCTATGATGCTTAAATCTCCCCCCTTTTTTATATGCAACTTCGCATTTAAAAAAAATGTATACATATTAGGACCTGTCATCCCAAGTGCAAGATGAGCATGAAGAAACAGGGATTCTAAGCCCAATTGTGGAAAGAGAAGAAAAATTCATTAAAGATCAAGGACTCCATGTTGTAAAACAGGAGATTGAGAATCTGGAGGATGGTAAGAAAAAGTTTGTTTAAGCAACTGATAAGTCTGCATCCCCTGAGAGGGAAAGGGTTAGCATCCCCTGATGTCTTCCAGCTGAACTGTGAATTGATTTTACAGAACAAGAAAAGTTTGGTGCAATGATAGGGGAAGAGTATATATAAGGAGTCACATTTGTATGGAGTTATTAAGGAAAGAAAAAGACTGTTAGTTGTCACTATTTTGGGTTAGGTAATATCAGCAAACTATCTTAAAGTTCAGATCAAGTATAATTCAGGTAAAGGAAAAAATTTCTTTGGGTATTAATTAAAGCTTGAGGAAGAGGCAACTGAGAGAACTCTTTGTAGCTTTGGTCTTGTGACTAGTCCACAGATAGTTTACACATAAAAATCAATGATGTGTGATCCAGAATATATTCCTGTAACTTTTCTTTGATTTTAATGTGTAATGTAAATCTTTAATGTGTTCAGCCATTAATGTGGAAGTTTAATGAACCTTTTTACAAAGTTTCAGAAACTGGAAATGAACTTTAGGAATATATTCATTTCCATCTGGATATAAATGCTGTAAAGGTAGGTGCAAGAGTGATCTCAGTCTCTAATCTTTTGAAGTATTCTTCAGTTTAGTAGCTACTCACAGAGAAATCTGTTTTTCTCTTGAGCTGAAGAAAGTGGGATATGAATTCAGGATCCAATTATTTCTTCAATTAACATATGTATGTGTGTGTACAAGTATGTGTGTATGTGCGTGTATACTGTGTAAACAGTTACTGTTTAAATAGAAGTGTGTTCATATTGTTGGCTAATGCCCATAACAGGCTACTTTCATATAATAAATAACAGAATAGAATATTAGGCATTATGGATAACTGTCAAGGTGAAACAGGAATAAAAGTAGTTAAAGCTGTCATTTTGTCCTTTTAACTGATATTTTTCTTACAGTCTATATGGAATGATCTCTTATCAGTAGGAATACGTGGTAATTATTAAAGTTACCAGATTTAGAGTATTCTTACATATTTTTAATAATTTTTAATTTGGAGATAATTTCAAAGTTATCAAAAAAGTGACAAGAATAGTCAAGTAACTATTTGTGGGTTGTATACCTCATGCCTATACCCTTAAATATTTCCCCAAAACAAGGACATTCTCTTACACTATTTCAATGTAGTTTTCAGCTTCAGGAAGTTTCACTCGAATATAACATGTTTACCTAAGCTACCATCGATATTACAGTGGTGTTACTTGGCACAATATTGTTCTTTATGGCTTTTTCTTTTCACATCTCTTGGTCTCCTTTAATCTGGAGCAATTTCTTGGTTTGTGTATGTGTATGTGCAAGAGAGAGAGAGAGAGGGAAGAAGGGAGGTGGTTGAAGGGAAAAGGGAGAGAAACATTTAAGAATACAGACCCATTTTTAAAAATAAAATGTTCCTCATTTGGAGCTTGGCTGAAGTTTTAATTAGATTTACTTTAATTCATCTTCTGTCATAATACCACATTAAATGATGTCATGTCCTTCTCAAGATATGGCATCCAAATGTTTAATTTATTTTTAAGTTTAAAAGTTTTTGCTCCACCCATCCTACCCCCCACCATTCGGTTTGTAGTACTACACTGTATATATATGAAGGCAGAGAACTTCTTCCCTACCCTTATTTTGAAGAATGAATTTTTTTTTATAAATGTGAATCTTAAATGCAATACACACTATATATATTACTCTCTACTCCAAGAATAACAAGTATAGAAATGAAATTGATAATGTATACCCTTACTGTGCTTAAAATACTCAAATTAGATAAAGATGGCTATTTTGTAAAAGATGGTAGTTGAATTTTCTATTTAAAAATATGGACCGCTATAAAATCCCATTTTTAAAATTTGATTTCATACAGAATGGGAAAGAGAAGAACTTGATAAAAAGCAAAAAGCAAAGACATCTTTACTGGAGAGAAAAGAAACGCCAGAGTTGGAAATTGGAAGGTACCAAATGGAAATGTATCAAGTTCAGAATATTGATGCATTGGAAGAAGAGGAAGAAGAAAGATTAAAGAGAGAAATGCTGCTTGCTAAACTGAATGAAATCAACAGAGAACTCCAAGATTCTAGGAATCTAAAATGTCCTCCTTTGCCATTGTTACCCGATTTAAAATCAAAACTATACTCTCCAGATAGAAGCTGTAAATCATACATGTTCTCTGAATCTGCAGAGAGATTTTTAAATGGACATCATTTGCAAGATATCAGTTGTTTAACACCAAAAGAGGGTCAGAATCCAGGAAATCCTAGAAGTCCAGCCTCTCCACATGAGTTTGCATTTGGTAGCTATGTGCCTTCATTTGCCAAAACAACACGGAAGTCAAACCCATTTGGTCAAAAGAGTGGCTTTTTGGATTTCCAAAGAAACTGTATGGAAACTCCAAGTAAAGATAATATAGATTTAATTACAAGAAAAGAGAAAAAAGCTAATCTGATGGAACAGCTGTTTGGTGCCAGTGGCAGCAATACCCTTTCTTCTAAAAGCAGTGACCCAAATTCTCTGGCTGGCAGCACAGGAGACTTTGAACCTCTAAATTTTCTCCCTGGGGATAAAAGCAGCCGAGGTAGAGAACATGAAGATGAAGACTTTTTCTTCAATGAGGCAAAAAATTTTAATCCAAGTAGACGCCGATTAAAACATGCAAACCATAAACCAGCAGTAACAGCAGTTGATTCTGTAGAAGATGAAATTGAAGAAGTAGTACTGAGATGACTGACTAGAGTATACATTTTTTCCAATTGTAAATATCAAAATATTTTCTTACAGTATTTATTATAAACATTTAGATCTTAATGTTAAAAAATCCTATTTAAGGAATTATTTTAATAGCTAAATACAGTACAGTTAAAAAGAAGCAGATGATATCTCTATACCACATAGTTTGCCAAGAATGAAGGAGGCTCCTTTGAGTGAAATGAAAACTAGAGATATGTCTTGCTTCCTTTTGACTTTTTGCTTACAGACAGCTTTTACTCCCTAAGTCAGCTCTATGGGGAATCTTACTTCACTGGAAGTTGTATTCATTCCCTACTTTGATCCTTATTTATTTATTTATTTTTGATCATATCCTCACTGAGCTAATTGCAGTCTTCATACTGGTTGTTGAATGATAATTGAGGGTGAAAAGCTCTGTAATTGGAAGTCTAACTCCCTGGTGATGGAGAACCAGTGCTACTTGGTTGTCCTGCCCTTTATGAGTAGAGGCCCGGGTCCCTGTCTTACATGGCAGGGCTGAATTACTCTTCAGTGATAAAACAGTGATGACATTGAAGTTTCCCACTCCTCTGAAAGCACCCACAGTTAAACATGACTCAATTTCCAAACACCGTCTCCTGAAATCACTTAGGTACAACTCTGCTGGCATGTTAGGTGAAGTTAAGAAAACATTTCTATCTCTGTACATGGACAGTTCTCCTCTGTCATGTCTGCCCTAGACTTGGGTACTGTTTAATTCCTCTGCTTTGTTTTTCTACACTCTTTGTATCTCACTGGCTAGATATAAGATTTCATACCAAATACAAGGAATAGAAGAATTTTTATCCTTATAGGAAAATTTTTGACTCATAAATTATGTTCCCAGATTGATATTAATGTAAAATTTTTAATGTGTAATTTATAAGATTTGAACTTACCCTTAAACCAAGGAGACAGCAGTAATACATACTACTGGGTTTCTAAGACTAATTTTAAAGCAACCTTGCATAAACATTTTTTTAGAGATGGGGCTTCTCTGTGTAGGGGCTTCTCTGGGATTTGTAGGGTGCATAGTTCTCTCTTGAAATGCGTTGGTCTTCTTATGGCTGTTTGTCCTTCACTTCAGCTGCAAAGGAATTGATGACCTTGGATTATGCTGAGTGTGATTGATCTTTAAGAAGCAGTAATACACCACCAACCAAGGAGAAAACACTTCTGAAATGAAGAGTGGCGGAAATAGTCTGTGGGAAGAATAAAACATTTAGGTTGGCACTTACTGCAAAGTGAGCTGTGTTTTTCAAGAATTCACTATCTAACTGCTCATAGTATGATTGCTGAGGCCACGCATATGTGCTGATGAGAAAAAGAGTTATTGTTGTATATTGAGTTCTTACAGATGTTTATTATTGAATATCATTTCATGACTATTTGATAAGACTCACCTGGTTAGGTCTCTAATTGAAAGATGTACACCCTGTTATCCTTTAAGTTGTGTTCCTGTTATTTATTGGGAACAATCTTTCAAAAGTGCTAAACTATTAAAACATTTTCTTAATAAAGAGATTTTTATGTCTGATATAAATAAGCATTTATTATGCTACAAATCATTCTAATATGTGTAAAACACAATATTATTTGTAATAAAGTTCTTGATAAAATATTGTGCAATATTACTTTTGTTCATAGCTGCTCATTTTTCTGCCAAAAGTATTCTAGCTTTTGTCTTATTTTAAAGGTTTTTTTTTAAGAAAAAACTTTAGTAAATTTTATATTCAAGTAATTTTAATCAGTTTCTTGCTTTTTTCTGTCTAATGGTGTCTAACCAGATGGGCCAAGAATTATTAAAATTAAACCTCCAATTAAGTTGTAAACTTAAAAAGCATTATGATGTTAAGCATTAAACTTACTTAAATTGAAATGTACAGAGCAGGTTTTTCTTTACCAAAAAAAGCTTAGAGTGAATCTTTTTCTAAATGTCAAGTTAAATTTATTTGTACTTAGAACTCTTCATTAATAAAAGTTTAAAAACTCACTGTGACTCTTTATTTTAATGATAACTTAGCTCACTTAGAAAATATGTGATATATATGAAAATATGTGATAGATGGGGCTGGACACTATGGCAGAGAAAGTTAAGCCACCGCCTGCAGTGCTGGCATCCCATATGGGTGCTGATTTGAGTCTTGGCTGCTTCCTGCTAATGTGTCTGGGAGGGCAGTGAAAGATGGCTCAAGTGCTTGGGCCCATGCCACCCACATGGGAGATCCTGAAGAAGCTCC